CAATAGCACTTGACAGAGCATCGAGGGGGGGGGGGGAGGAAGAACCAGGATATTGGATGTAGGAACTTAAGTAGGCATGCTTACAATTGCTCTTCATATTGAGATGCCAGCTTTATTTTTTAAATGTATATTTTAAAACACGATGTTGCAGTATGAAGGGGAGGCGAGAAAGAGAAAGGTAGAAAGATGATGATGTCCTCTTTAACTTATCGTCTTTGTGAAATCCACGAAGATGGAACTGAGATCTGATACGGTAATGGCATTCACAAACTTTCCCTTGGCAACACAGATGAACGATGCTCAGAAAGGGTTGGAGAGCTCGTCCACACCACGTGCGTGATAGAAGGAAGAAGCCCCATTCCTCCTTTCATTCACCCTTCACCTCCATCACGACGGTCAGCTGAGAAAAATTATTTAAAAAAATTCGAGGGCATATCCGAGGCCTTGGATATGTCCCTATCGTGCGTAGTTCATATAATAAGCCACTGAGGCTTCCAGCCGGCAGAGACAGACGACGGAACGGTGTCCCATAGTCGAAAATCTATGACTCGAGACTACAAATGTGAGACGAGTGCCAGAAAGAAGGGCAATCTGCCATCTCAACTGGGAGGGGGGAGAAAAAATGCTGTGTTGAATAACAGTTCTTTCCGGGATTTTTGTGGCGCCGGCTCTCTCCTGAACGGACAGTTAATGATATTATGTCTGCGCAATCGTGAGCACCCAATGTTTTCTGCCCCTGCCCCTTCTACATAAAATGACTACTTGTCTATTTTGAGTGACATTTTTGGTCAGCAAAAAGATGATAGATAGATGTAAATAGGCTCGGAACTAATGTTAAGCCTTGCAGACAATTCGGCAGGCGATAATTATACTGTTCTAACTCCACTTTCCGATAAGTTTTATCTAATGCACCCAATATTTATATATATGTGAAACCCATCTAGGAGCGTTTCGCAGTGATAGATATGTACGGCATACCCACTTGAGAGGTTAATGACATTTTCGATCCTCCTGTCTATCCGGATAGCACTAGCATATTATTTACCCTTCGGGTTTACCTCCGCATGATGGAGAGCATTATGACTTTTTTGTTACTAAAAGTCAGAAAAATATTGGAAAAAAGTAAGTTTTACGGTTGTTGTTTTTCCCTTATAAATTTATCAATATTGACATTGGTAAAAAAAAAGAATAAAAAGAAAAAGAAGTCATAATGGACTTTTGTTTTCAGCATCAAAAACCTTCCAAATTCCAAATGCCACTCTCCAAAACCGGTGGGGGGCCAGTGGTTCATAGAAAAATACCACTCTTCTTCGTCGGGACAGATTTTTAAAATTTTAAATTTTAATTAATTTCACTGGTTAAGGTAATACTTGGAAGAATGAGCTTATTTCTATTCGTATGAAGCCTATAGGAAATTAGTGTAGACAACTGTAGAAGTATTAATAAATCAAGTTTTAAGTTGCTATGGCAACCGCGACAGGGAAAATGGAAAAAAGTGATGAATCAATCACCATTCAAGCCTATCAGTATATGCCATTTCCCATTGGTCATTATGGAAATGGCAAATGATGTTCTTTCTGTCACGGTCCCTAACTTCTTTGGTAAGCAGACCTCTTGCTGAATAAAGCATTAATCTTTGCATTTTCCTTTCGCTGTGAATATCAGAATTACTTTGTCATAATTGTGCATAATTAGCTTAAAATTCATTCAGCATGCATAATTGAATACAAGATGATGATGCGCTTGCCTACTATAATGGGCGTTCAGTGGTATTGATGTAATGAAATAAAATAAACAAAGTCTTGCGTTTTTTCCCAAAATGAGATTTTGCGGATATGGAACAAAATAACGATTAATGATAATTTGTGCGGCCTTCCAAGAGATGGCGTTGCGCTATTCTTGTGTGCCTTTCTTGACACATTTCAATTGTTACCATATGCGTGGTTTCGCCTCTTCTTCGATCAAAATTAGCTTGAAAAAAAGCAATTTCCCGCACATGGATGATATAGTTTTTTTTCCAGATGAAGGGAACTAAATCCACGAAACGTGGAGCTTCCAATCGGGGCCTACATTAGAAACCGGTTCGGAGGCTCCTCGGTATTTTATTTTTTGTGCTTTCCCCGTGTCCCATATATCTTTGCGCATTCCGGTTCGAAGTCGGCCGTTGGTTCGACGTTCTTTCTTCATTTTTTTCAGGGGAAAATCTTTCGTTCGATCAGCTCGGAGTCAATTTGATGTAATTAATCAGAAATTGTTGTACTTACACAACTCTTTCTATGCGTTTAGCCAAGAACGTCAGAAGCCTTAGCTCATGAGTCCTGACGAAACCATCACAGAACTACCTGACACGAGCAACGATTCTGTGTGGGATTTTGGAGGCATAAGCTGGGCGAGATTCGTCTTTAAATGCAGGAAGACTGGATGACTGTGAGAAATGTCGGACAGCTAAAATCGAGGTAATATAGATATGGATTGGTATTTCTTTACAAAAAGCGGACTCCATATTTAAATCTTTCTAATCAAGTTTTTGCCCAAGATATTTCCTTCACTTCACATATAATGTGGGAAAAATTTGACGCTAGGCGGTGAACCATCGTGCTAGGCCTTCCTTTGATGCCCCAACCAATGAAAAAGTAAATATGGCGAAGCTCCCAACAAATCTCAACCTTCAAATCGAGTTCTCTGCATCTCTTGTTTGAAACTTGGGAGAGCCTATCGACGAGTTCGGAAACGGCATGAGTTGTTTCTGTGACTTTTGTAATTGAAACTTACCCAGAATTTGCAAAATATTCAGTCGCAGTGGGTGCACACCTCAATTAAGAAGACGACACGATTGAAGAGAAGTTGATTCCTTCTCTGGCTACCACATCATGCTCAAAATCCGCAAATATCCTTCTTTTTCACAGGCGAAAAAATTATCAGAGAGATCTCAAAGAATACTTGTTAACTTGTTCACTTGGTCGGGACGCGTGGTACTCATTCGTGTGGCTATGCCAAGTGTCACTTGTGGCCGATAAACCTAACTTGTCAGCTGAAAAAACAAATTGCATTGATTTGTATCTGTTCAGCAAGGGGTGGATGAGAAGGAACATGTACAAGCATGCCTCTGAAACATTAAACAATATGTATCCCCTGATGGAGAAATTTAACGCAAAAGTATAATATCACATTTATGGATGGAAAACATAATGGTAATGATCAAATACTGACTTATTATGTTCTATTGGTACCCAATTTTAGTAAGAGAGCGCACGTTTGGACTGTGTCTCATTCGTAGAAAAATGCAATCAGTGAGTGAGTCCTCAGGCAGAGTGAAGTGCTACCATCCACAATAAGCCAACGTTTGGATACTCCTCTCAAAATGAGAATTAAGAGGAAAGGGAGATTCACACAGATTCGCCGCAGGCACACACACATCAAGCTAAAAGCTGAGGCTAACACTAGAAATATACTACATTGAAACAGCATTTGGTCAGATGTGGTACATTTGTTTATTGATGGAATCCACGAATCTGGAGCATGCATGTAGGAATACGTGCGCATCACAAAAAAAGAAACCAAGAAATGACATTTTTCTCTCTGCTTCGTCTTTGGCATGGAATCCATTAACTCGACGCGGACAATGTCGCACGGACAAACTACACAACGCGCCCCAGGCAAGACGCACTTCTGGTTCCACGTCCATTTGTTTCTTCTTGGCTTGAGCAAAATTTTTTGGGACTTAGTCATGAATGAAATACCTAAACTGTACATTAAACTGTATATTTTCCGTAATACGAGGTACTTTAAAAACTGGAAGGCAGTCTCTTTCAAAATTGTATCACAGCGAGCAATCTCCTGGAAATGTGCTTTCTATGGTACGAACCAATCAATTGAAGGCGCGGGAATAACTGTTAGTCAAGCTGATTTTAATTCAAAATTTGCTGTTCGATGATAGTCGATAGGAGTGGGTCACTTCTGATACATGACTCATTGTCCGAAAGCTAAGTGTGTTCGACGGGGAGGGATCTTACCCACATGATGAAGTGCTCATCATTGCCACCCCAAAATTAGCTACAAGTAAAAGCCAAGTGGTTCTCGGAGTACAGGTAGCCCAACTTCAAAGATGGCTATGCAAGGAGAGAGAATTCATGGGAAAATATCGGAGGGTGAAAACATAATCGACATGTTAAATGGGCAGAAGAAGGACGTTAACAACGATAGGCTGAAACGTCAGTGTCAAACGTTGCTTATTATCAAATGGCTTCTTGCCCGTATGTCTTCGTAGCCATAATCCAACCCAATGCCAAACATTTGGCTTTTGGGTTGGATAATTAATAATTTCACTCAGGTGAAATCCTTCGAAAAATCAGAGATACCGCATATAATATTTACTACAACGCATTCGCCTCTTTGCCCAGTCTTAAGTCTGAAATAAATATCAACTATCGACTGGAAGTTATTTTCTGGAATACTATCCCTGACATTCATAGACTGATGTGGCCATCTCCCAGCACTCTTGGAACAACAAAGCTTAAGGAATAGCAGTCATGGGCATCTCATCATCAGGGGCGTTTCTTCAAGGTTTCTTGTCCCACATCCTTCTGCAGGATAAATTTTCAAATGTTTGGTGAAGGGAATCTCTTCCATGAGCACTGGCATTATATTGCTGGACTGAGTCAAGCACAATACAAATATCTTTCCTTGATAGACACCGTTCAGACTAAATTTGGCACACGTCTGGATCAACCGCGATGGGGAGGAGAATCTATTATATTTGAAAAAATAAGTTAAAATTTTCTCTTCTTTTGTCTCTTCGTCTCTTTGGCTTCAATACGCAAAGCAATCACACGCAGCGAGCCATGTTTAAAAAAAAAAAGAACAGTCTCCAGCCTCGGACTAGACGTTTGGAGTTTTTTTTCTTTGTTTTAGGAAGACTGGAGACACTTTGTTGTACCGTGACGTGTCCTCCATGCTCGTATGGATGGAGGAGAAATTGAAGACATATTATCACAAGACGATCATAGATTCGTACTCCGTTCTTCCTCAACCGTCTCCATTTTTGCACTGGCGATTAGTTTCCTAGAGCTCTGCCGGCGTGGCGAGGCAAGGAGGGCTTTGGATCCAGATTCAGGAGAAGGAGCGGCGGCAGCGGCAGCGGCAGAGCGACCGCTGGAGGAGCCCAGACGAGCGAGAGAAGATCTGCGCCGTCCCCCATTTCCACTAGTCCGCCTCTCCCTATCCCGGTCTCGATCCCGTTCTCCACTAGACGTCGTTGGACTTTGGAGATCGAACTCGAGATTCGCTTCGAACTCGCTCATGAGGAGATAATTCTCCATCTGGTTGCAGGAGGTGATGCAGTCAGCGAAAGCGAGGTCGTCGAGATCGAAGTCGAGCAGGTGGTCGGGGAGATCCATATCCGCGATCCCTTCCTCGGAAATGCATGTCAATTCTGCTTTCCCCGCGGCCGCATCTGACATTTCCTGCAACAAGGCCGAAAGCTGCCCGGGTTTCACAGATCGGAGCTGTTGCAACAGGGCTAGAGGGTCCGATCCATCCCGGTCGTCTAAGTCCCCTAGGTCGAACGAGCCCTTCTTAGGCTTCCGCTCCGGCTTCCTAACGTCGTCGTTGGACGGGTGGCCTTGGCCTTGGCCTTGACCTTGACCTTGACCTTGGGCTTTGGCTTTGGCTTTGAGGAGGCGACGTCGTCGCTCGCGGACTGGGATGAGGAAGAGGGAGACGCTGGCCGCAAGCATGGACGCGGCACTAAAGTAGTAGCCAGCTTTCCCGCCCACGCTCACGTTTATGTAGCCTGGGCAAGAAGAAAGACAAAAGAAACCCAATGGATGGTTGCATTTCTTTCCCTTCATCCTCGTTCATGATGAAATTAAACCTAAATCTTTAAATAAATAAATAAATAAAACTGAAAATATCAGAATCAGCGTTCCACATAAATTTATGCCATTTCTTGTTTAACACTTTGAGCTCTGCAGCCGTCATATGACGTCCTACGCCCATTCAAACTCAACGCATTCAAATTGCCAGGGCTCAAAGTGTTAAGGAGTGGCAGGAAAGGCATGATACCAACTGGTTCTTGCACAATACCCTTTCCTTTTTATTTACAATCCGATTTTACTTTTACTTTTGTCTCTCTCTTCAACATGCCCATTTCCACCCCAAAAGGGTGTCAAACATGCGGGATCTGGCCTGCAGGGGTGGTTCATCCGGCCCGCTGTCTTTTCTTGAAATTTCCGCCTGGATTGACTCACAGCACCCTCCGCGCACTAGCGGTCCTAAGGGATGCGGCCTTTAGGGATCTGCAGGATAAGGAATGTAGCCCGTCGACCGATTTGAGTTTGACACCCCTGTCTAGCAGGTAATTAATAAAATTCGGGTTGACGGACTCAAGAGTTGAGAACCTGGAAGGACTGATTGACAATTCATGGGCTACGACGGATAGCAGCTTGAACTCAAACCCATTTCGAATCCGAAAAAAGGAGCATTCGCGATTCACGTTACAAGAGTTGCAGAGTAGTAGATCTCCCATGAAGGTTTGTGATGGCACACTTGAGGTAATTCTTCGACGGTACCTTATTCCACAAGTTTTCAACAAGGAACAAGTTCTTATCTGAAACTTTAATGAAAGTGTGCATAGTGGACATACCGGAGACGGGGACCCCGATGGCGATGGGGAGAGCCTGAGAACATTGGACGAAACCCCAAGCTCTGGGAAAATTCCTCGCCCGGACCCTTTCGAAGGTGTACATCTTCAGGGTATAGTGGTAACCTCCGCAGAAGACACCGTAGATCCAGACGAAGAGGACGTGCCCGTGGTACCCGTCCACGGCAGGAAAGGCCAACAAACACACTCCACACATGAACACCGATGCCTATAGATAAAAGAGAAATCAAATTTCCAACTTCCCTGATAGAGTTCATCTTTAGATAATGTTCACTGTGTTGACACAATGACTTCCTGAGGGAAATGGCTCCCTCGCGAGAGGATGTCTTGTGCTCTGAAAAACGGCTGATTTTTTATTCCGGGGTTACAGCTGATCCTGCTCCTTCTTAACAAAATAAATAATAAAAACTCGAAGAAAAATAAGTTTAATTGTTACTTGAGTTGAATAAATATGCTGCATTATTATTTAAATAGGAAAACTGGGAGCAGAATATTCGAATAAATTATTGAATATTGCAAAACGTTTGAACTTTGAATACAGATCTGAATACAATTCAGCTCTTGCTCTTAGCACGAACATGCATGCCTCCATTACTCATCGTTGTAGTTTCTAGTTTCCAATTTGCCATAGCATGGATACTTCCAAGACTAAACGGATTTCGAGTCACCAACATAGTAATGGAGTAATAGTAATGAAAATGGGATAATATTAGAAACAGACCCATGAACACGGTATTAGCCCAAATACTAAAAGGCGTCTGGGCAAAGGGCATAATTTAGACTACAGGTGCTTTGATTACTTAATATTCTAAGAGAAGAGACAGATCGCTCAAAAGTGTGAAGAATGTATTCTGCCAGTCAGGAAAATCTTAGTGTCGAGAAAGCAATGCAAGAAAACCATTTTAGTCATTCAACCTTGCAGTCGCACACTGAACGAAGAATATAGATTTGTGAAAATGTAGGCTTCCATCTTGTTTATAACGTCAGCTGCAAATCATCTATAATGGGGTCAAAAAAGTATGACACCTTATTTTTTTCTTCGCAAGAAGAAAACTATTTGATGAAGCTTGGAGTTGAAGACACCAACTCCGTCGGAGTCAGTCAGGAGAAAGTACAGTAAACTTTCATCTTTTTTTAACAACAGAAGGCAAACCTGACCGCCACCGGTCGCTAACCGTCGGGAAATATCTAGGAGATAGCGAAAATGATGTTCTAATAATTCCTCCGAATTGCACGATCATGTACTCATAAATCTGGCGACTCCCCTGGCGATTGATTCGACTTCCAGCAAGATGGTGCTGTATCCCATGGATCTCGTGCAGCTTTCGTTCTCTTGCATCAGAGCAGCACTTAATTTTTAGGTAATGAAGTACCGGATTGCACAATGGGCGGCACGTGATATTCAGCAGTAGTGGATGAGGCAGAGTAGGCCCTACCCTACCCTACCTCCATTAAGAATCCACTACTGCTGAATATCACGAGTCGCTACTGGATTTCACTATAAGAATATTGTAAATAAATAGGGGAATTTGACTTGTGTAGCTTGGGAATGGGATTTGTGTGGCTAAACGAGAAAATGGGGAAGGGGGGGCGAGGAGGGCTCGAGCCTCCTGCGTTGTGTTTCACTGCAAGCAACACATCGAGCAAAAACGAAGCCACCGTATTATTTCGAGGTACCGAAAGGTAGCTGCACTCCGGACCGCTCCGGCTCAAATTAAAATTGTATCAAGCTATACCAGACCTGATGGAACGTAAGATGCAACTATTGAAAAGTCCTGATTTTTAATTTTTTAATATAGGATTTTGAGAACGCTTCAGGAAGAGCTTTACAGGACGACCGGCTTAAAAATCTGTGAGATCTGCAAGCGAAGTTCGTCCAAGTGGGATGCTATCTCTCAAAAATGTTGCGACAAGACTAATTGCTAGTGAGTCACAATTGGTAACCGTGATCAAAATGGCACGTCATTGACTCTGCCAAGGAGTAGGAGTACTTTACTCAAATGAAGCGTTTTTTCAATGGTTCTGGCTGTATTCTAGTTAGTTATTGAAGAGGACTTTTTAAATTAGAATTTTTATTTGCCCACCTTTTGTATTAAAGAAGGCATATGGACTTACTTGGCAAAGGTAGAGTCTGGCGATTCGGCAGTCGGTGGAGTTTTGAAGGACGAGGATCCCAAATGCCCAGGAGCCCAGGGTCCATGCCAGACCCAGGAATACTTGCAACAGTAACGACCCTCCCACTCGACCCTCCTCCACCTGCTGCGCCTATATCCACCCACATGCACGAACACGGGACGGAAATAAGTCATCGTTTGAAGGCGAAGAGACACCGAAGGGAACCTCGGAGTCGCCGCAGGGGGTTCCCGTGATAACATCACGATCCCGCCATTAGTCTCTGGTTATCACCCCTGTCTGTCTCTGTCTCTTGTCCCTAAACGCGCACGCATACATCAGCCTCATCCCAGAGGTCACCAAGAGAAAGAGAGAGACACAGACGTTGTCCCCCGATGTCTGTTTCCATTCACTGGGTCTCTTGAGTAAGAAGGTCTTAGGAATGGGGGATATTACTGCCATCCGGTTCCAGGCTGAGGAAAACTTGCCCATTCTCCCTTCCTGGCCCATTGTGTCGAACGTGCCAATGTTTTTCTCTCTCCGTATCATGTAGACAGTAAGTAATTCTTTTTCCTTTTATGAGGTGACTTCATATCACATATTTATACGGGTTCGGTGGCACGACGCCATTAACCCTGTGGCCTCCATTTCCGACTCATGCACTCTTCCATGCTATAAAAAGGGAACCCTTTTTTTCTTTTGAGAGGGGCGTGAATGGTATGACAGGCCAGGGTCAAAAGGTGCAAGAGAGGTAGGAAGGAAAAAAGAAAAAGCAAAGGACTCACGAGGAAGAGGAAAGGAGTGTGGATGCCGAGGGCAGAGAGCGCGGTGGAGAATAGGAGGATTTGGAGGGTTCGACTCTTGAGAGGTTGAAAATCCAAGATGGGAGGCTTGTCTGAGTCTCCCCCTCGATTCCCCTTCTCACCAACTCCTTTCACCTTACGCTTCTGGGTCTTCAGGTGTAAAATAGCCCTCCTCTGGGGATGGTACAACGTCGCCGACCGGTAACATGTCCCAAGGATCGATGTCACCACCACTGCTCCCGTCACTGCTTGCAGACCCAGCCTCCAACCGATCGACCTAGAGATACCCAAAAACCTTTCACAATCGACAGGATGGATCGAGGAAACGCAATCAATGCCTGACGATTTCATTTAGAACCTCACTTTGAAGGTTGAAAGGCATTATCCGATGCCACCGCGTCAATCTAAGTCTTGAGATTTAGACGTACGATTCTTTGCATCACTATTTTACACTTTTAATTCTAAAAATTCATTCATTCATTGAAACGCTTTCGAGTATACCAATCTGTAAGGCATGCCTGTATCAACAGAATGTCTTTTTCCTTACGCTGCAGTTTCCGTATCATGAATCTAGACTGGTCTAAACAGAGTATAGACCTCAAATGAGGGTAATCTAAGGAGGGGATAAGGGAGAAGATCAAATGACCCGGAAGCGCCAAATTTCCTTCTTTAATGGAACGTGGATATCAAAACGAATCGAGAGCGCATGCTCGCAACAGGACTTCATTCAGTGACATCAATGACAGTGGAACGTCTGTCTTTTGGCAGGAAAATTGTGTGCAATAAACAGAACCGTATGGGCTTGCTAGAAAATTCATGAATACGACAATTACAAAATATTATCACGTTTTCAATCAAGTTGCTGTAGTAGAAACAGACTAAATTCAAGAATAATAACAAATTTGAAACAAGTCTTTCCTAGACAAAGTGATTGGCTTGCTCTTCCATACTCATTTTTCTATATGTCGTCAGCTAATTGGTCAATATGCATCAATATATCAGTATATCAATCAATGATAAAAAATATGTGCGTTAGTTTTAACTATTTCTCCGCCAGATACAGTTATGTCCAGCGTAAAGATCTCTTCCAAACGTGCTACGTCCACTTTTCAATTCGAAACTGATTTCTTCAAACCAATCTCGCAGTCCGTTTAGCATTAGAGGACAGAGGATGCGCACAATCGCATGGCTAGAAGTCTGCTGGAAAGCCATATTTTAGAAGCGTCCCGAAAGACTCATTCATGAGGCCTTTTATCTAGTAATCCTTCGTGCAAAAGAAAAATTATATTGTAAGTCAGTTGGATGAGCATCTAAGGCGTGCATCGGGTGGGAAAGCGGAATCAGATCATAAATTCACAGAGGGTTCTGTCATGAATAAATAAATAAATAAAGTAATGTTTTTTAAATGTAAACATGAGACAGCCTTACGCGATGGCAAGTTTGAGGAAGACGGACATGATGGCGAGGCCGATCCCAGAGCCGGAAACGACCAACATCTCCACCAATTCCCGCCGCCGCTTGAAGTACTGCCCCACCATCAACGTGGACGTGTCCCTGGTCAACCCCACGCCGATTCCAATGAACGTTCCGTAGGAGAGGAACAGTTGGTGGAACTTGGTGGCAAAAGAGGTGAAAAGGCAACCGAGAGCTGTCACAAGCCCGCCAAGGACGGCTGTTAGCCGGGTGGATTTCCGACGACAGAATCCGATTGTCAACGGAGAGACTAGAAGACCCATGCTGATGCTCAACGCACCCAGGCACCCTAACAACATAAACAACAGCTTGTAAAGAGTACTCTGACACTATAAACGAGAGTTCGTTTGCAGAAACACCAAATTGACACATCCAAGGAAAGAGAGTCTCCTTGCCATGAAGACCAGGAACGGAGGAAAGTTTTATTCGAAAATATGAAAAATCCAGTTTAGGTTCTTAGAATGATGACAGACTTCAGGGTTCAGGTTTTATTTAAAGCTCAGGCTCAGGCTTAACCAATCGGCTCATTTATCTCCATCTCATGCACTATAGACCTATCGGCAGAAAATAAGTATGTAGGTCATGTCATATCTCTCCAACTGCAGTGTCTCTCCTAGTGACCCCTGGTAAAGTTTTTGTTGCGTCAGATTTCCACTTTGGTGCAGCATCAAACTGTGACAGCTTGCATCAGAGCGACGAGTTGATGACTTCCGAGGAGACTGCCAATGCAAGAAACTGCGATTCGCGAAACGCCTCATCGCAGTCAACGCATTGGTAAAGTTCCGTAAAAACTGGCATAATAGACGTGATGAGATTGTTGACAGCGGAAAGTAAACTTATAATCCCATCAAGGAGAGTTTGATGCTCTCATGGCAATTCATGCAAGTCATTTTGATATTTTGAACAATGCACACATAGCACGTGTCGGATTGGATGGTTTCAGATGAGTAGGATGGATACGAATTAGAATCTGTCAAAGAAAAACGATAAAATTAAGCCTTCTATTGAGCATGACCAAGTCGTAACCTTGTCAGATGAACCTCCACACCTCTGTCCGTATGCAGAAGAAGAAGAAATGTAGGACGATTGCATTGCTTCATGTTGACCAGAACGAGAGGGTGCCCAGTGCCATCTTTGCCATATAATGAAATACCTATTTCGACTATAATTGTCTAATTATGGGATGGTGTGGTTAGTGACTCCGACAAATTGCAGTGTTATGCTCCAACAATGGAGTGTTGATAAATTACTCCAAGCTTCCAATATTGTTGTGAGTTCGCTTATCCTCGATAACCTAGGAATCGGGCGAATATGCACTCTAAAAGAATTTCAGGAATGCAGGACTTCGTCCTCATCATGAGAGTGACATCCAGCATGTTATTGTACATAACAGGCACAATATAAACAAATCCAGGTCATCAAAAACTGTGTCTGCAATGCAGGATGAATGTGGCATAGATTTAAGATCCTCGTGGAGGTGACACTTCCTTGACCTTTCTAGTCGTCTGAGATTTCAGACAAGGAATAGCTAATGCACCGCATAAAATCGGAAACTCAACACCAAGCCAAGCTGAGAAGAGTTGAGTTAGCATGGATCAGCAAAAACGGGACTGGCGAATTTTCGCTTTGAGGCCTATACATGAGGCATCCTGGTCGTATGCTGAAACTTGAACTCGAGGAATGAAAGTAAACGAAGAGAAGTCAGAGACCTGAATCTTCTCTTAATACATGCAAATAGTAAATGGCATCCATGATAACATTACGTTATCTTATATCAAGACGTGACTGACACCGGGAACTTAATTACCTTGGAATCCTACGCGGAGGTCTTTCTCTTGGTGGCCAGCGATGAAATGCCTCTAGGGATGCTCTAGACAGAAACTATTTCCTCTTGCCCCGAGGGAGGCAGGGAAAGAAATCAATGAACTGACGCCGGCCTGGCAAACGTAGGAGTAAGTGACAATATAAAGGCCATTCTATAGGCCTTCCTGAAAAATTCATACGATGTTTGCCAATGTGTCTACAGGTACTCCATATGTACAGAAGAGGGAGAGAAAGGGGTGAATTAAAAGTAGTTGTTTGCGGGTGTCTACGTCCGGTGAATGAGAATCAGGTGACAAATTACGACATATCTCGGGACCGGGAGGCCCTATCGCTCACTCAGCAAGGGGCCCTTGCCTTCTTATACAATGAGGATTGAAAAAAAGAGCGTATGTCTGCCTGACCTAATTTAAATGCAAGATACAGGTGGCCTCCGTACGATGCAGGCATGCATTCTTGGAGCGTCAAGCCCTCAGATTTTTTCTCTTTTTACGCATGCATGAGCAGGGGAAGAATCTGCCTAAATTCTCAACGGTGAAATTCTCAATCTCAAGAGGTTTTCATTACCATAAATTCTTTTCTATTGGTCAGTTATATTTCAGCCGTTTCGATCAATTTCTTACTTTTTTTTACTTGCTAGATGGAGCGGCTCATTGGCCCAGAAGGAGGAATCAACGTTGTCCTTCAGATATAATAGACAAGAAAAACCGGTTTTGGATTGAGAAGACTCTGGCACACACCATTGCGTCACTCTGACAATACAATGACAGCGTGAATTTCTTCCAATCCATGGAAAAGGCTCCGATCCAAATGAATGGTTCAGATAAAACGGAGATCCCATTTTCCTTATCAGTCCACAATGGCCATCCACTGACGAGGACGGGAAGGTCGTACAAGTCAAGCATAGTCCCGGTCGTATAGAAAGATAGAGAAGAAAGCTTTTTCATCTACAGTCTTTTTACTGGGGGTGAAGAGAAAAGGGGTTGGCACTCCAGAAATGGCTTCCTATTCTCTGGGGGGCTCTAGCCTCTCCGCGTCTTCTATTCTTCTCTTATTAGACCCCCGGACCTTATAGCCCACGCCATATACTATTGACTATTCCGCTTCCTTTCCCGGAGGAAATTTCTGATTGCCGATTCACGGAAGAGCCTTCTCCACCTTGGCACAAAATTGGATGAGCAATGAAATCATACGGATAAATAAACAAGCAGCGGAAATGTGGCAACCCAACTGTAAGCACAAGTTGCAGGGTGAAGCGAGATCTTCCGCGTTCAGCCTTTCAGACGGTTGGATGGGATTGTATCCCATCTGAGAATGGAAGTCGTGAGGAAACAAACGAGCACCAATCCATTTTGGCCATTTTACTCTCCTCTGCGCGCAGCTATTCATTCTCACTTTAACACCAACTGTGGCTTTACCATTGAAAATCGACGAACGAAATTCTTATTTGTTCCAGTTTGTACAAGGGCTGAACGTCCATGCTGAATTTCAGTGCACAGCTTCTCTGTATTTTCGGAGAATTATTGGGAAAAGTCCAACAAAAAATAATCGACTTCGTAGATGGTTTCAGCTTCACCAATGAGCACTTTTACCAATAAAAATCTTATTTGCCTAGTTATGCAACTGGAATTATCAATATGCTTCCAAAAGGGTGAAACCATTCTTCTCGCCTTCACGTAGACGACGTGGGAAGAAAAATGCATTTAAAAGAGAGGAGAAAACTTTAAAAGCAACAGCAAAAAAATAGAGCGTTTCGGAGGAAGCGGAAAAAAGGGAGAAATCATATTTGATACATGCTAATTGATATGCAATAATGTAGGTCTCGAATGGATTTAATTTAGGCATTATCTGATGACTGCCATCCAATTCTTGAATTCTGCGCGTAATCGATTGAGTCATTGTGTTTGATTCTATTTTGAATCACGACACAAACCTCGAGAGAATACTCCAATGATGGGAGAGAAATCAGATTAAACAAAAGGAGGATAAGTCGCGAATTGAAAGCGAGGGGGGAGATTTTAATTGAGTCCGTAGCGAGGGGGAAAGATTTTAATTGAGTTCGTATCTCCGCAAGTCTTCCCCCGAGACCCAGAGGGCAGCAAGTTTTCACCAATCCAATCAAGATGTCGGCGCCGGGAGTCCGGGGGATTCCTTCTACGATGGGAGAAAGCTGGCATAATCATAAATAATAGAGACAGAAAAAGAGGGAGAAGGGCATAGAGATCTATCTATAAGATAAGCCAAATATCTAATGACGCATCGCTACATTTATGTCACTTCGCATCAACAACATCATCATCAGCATAACATTTCCTCTGCACATGAGGGAGATTCTCTAGCTTTTGTGCAAATCGAGAAAAGGTTTCGAGGTTTCGTGCTGGGAAATCGGCTCCCAGGATTCGGCTCTCATATTTTCATGGCAAAAAAACCTAATATGTCTCTACAGTGGATGTATGCAGTAGAGCCGTATGAATCATTCAGGACGTCTCATCAAAACCGGAGAATTATGGCCCTCTCTCCACGTCCCGTCATAGAAATTCACATGAGATGAAGTATTGCTTGTCTCCCGCGTAAGCGAAACAGTACCATTCATTTGCAGCTCATAGGCTCAAAAGTTGCGCCTGGCCTTGATATACAGATGAGGAGGAAAGTAGGTTGATGGCATAGTAGGCCGCCCCTGGAGACGAAATCTAATACCAGGACCGTGCTCACTCATCAACCACTACTATACTGTCTCAATCCCGATAACCGATCGACAGGCGTACAGGCATTAAATGTTCACTAATACAAGAAACAGCTGCGAATTCAGCGTCATTTCTGATCAACTCTAACACTGATGCTGGAACAATATCTGCGACTTGAAGAACTGTTACCAGTGGCGTAGTCAGGATTTCGCAAATGGGGAAAATTTGCGGGAAATTCTAACCCCCCCTAGGTGGGGGGGGTTAGAATTTCCCTTACTTCTCATGGAGCATGTTTCCGAAGAATGAATCATCGAGAACAGGAAATCTACGCTTCTTCCTCACAAAAATCATCTCTTTCCCTGCGGGGGGGGGGGGGCGGGGGGGGGGGGGGGGGGGGGGGGGGATGGGGCTGAACTACCACTCTCGCTAGGCCACTGACTGTTACAATGTTCCATCTGTAATATTGTAATAATCAGTCACTCTCGTTAACAGAGCCTAGTGATATTCCTGGATGACTGACTGCATTGATGATATACGGTATCATGCTTCATTGAATCGTTCCAATAATCATGATATACACTACTAGAGACAAGGTGTAGGAAAAATCCTATATTGGTTGGCTTATTGTAGTGCAAAGTATATATTAAAATATTTACACATTTAATCTATATAAGAATGGATTAGAAAAGGACATTGTACAATGGAATCGAAAAATTAAATTTCTGCCTCATGAGTTATTTACACACAATCAAAGCTAGAATGCAATTTTACGTCAGAATCGTAATCGCTAATATTGGACCCTCTTTCCAGAAACTTCAGCAGAGAAATCGATGACCACAAGCGCAGAAAATAACCATGGACTTTTCCACATTTTTTGCACAACCATTTTCCACTGGGAAAAGTTCTGGGCATCTCGGTTTAGCATAAGGATCGGGGAATCGGCAAGTATATAGGTCGAATGAGAGGAGGGGGGAAAGACAAATGAAGAACAGGGAAAGAGATGATTTTTGTGAGGAAGAAGCGTAGATTTCCTGTTCTCGATGATTCATTCTTCGGAAACATGCTCCATGCATCACTCCACACTTTCTCCCCCTTCCCCTTCCCCTTTCCTCTTTTGTCTATAAAGTGCATAGAACCCCAGGGATCACTCATACCTTTCTTCCGGAGAAACTATATGCTTGGACTTCCTCAAAGATGCCATGACAGCATCAAGAGATGGAGAAAGGAAAGAGAAGACACTTGAAAGAAACCAT